AAGGTCGGGCGCGCTCTTCCCGCTGCGGGTGGAGTAGCCCCCGGGCCAAGAGCTCAGGTCAAGGTCCACGCACCAGTTTCAGAGCCCACCCCTCCCCTTTCAGAGCCCAACCCTAGTGCTTATCCACGGGGTCAAATGCGAATCCAAACTAAAGCCGTGTGTCTTCTGCCCTGCACCTAATAAAAGAAGTGCAAGCTAAACACGCGATTGCATTTCACCTACCAGCTTAGCAAGGGGTAAGCCCTGGACCCGTGGAGGGAGAGGAACACCCACACATGCCGGCAAGGGGAAATCTGCTCAGCCACTGTGGAGGGTAGTAAGCAATAGCATCAACACTCGAAATGGAGACCCTGGACCCCAACTTCCACACCTAATAATTTATCCTACAGATATGCACACCCATGTACACGAAGACGTACGCATGAAGGTTTGGCATAAACAGCTTTTATTATGTGCAAAGGCTGGAAGCAAACTGCCCTATCACCCATAGGGACTGGATTAAAAATTTTAATACATCCACTCATTCTTTGTATGTTATGCAACTATTGAAAATCATAAAAGCGACTGTAAGTGAGGAATAATTGCCAAGATGCATTGGCGAGAGAGTGAAGGAGAGTGAGCACCAGTGACAAGGAGTATGTGGCCATTTGTAACAACACAAAGGGAGGGTGGGTGACATATAGCTGCTTGCACAGCAAGGTTGTGTAGACAGTCTCCAAGAATACTGTTACTGCGGGGAGCCCAGCATGGGGCTGGGGCAGGAGGGAAGCAAACTTCGCCACTCTTAGCCGGATTTTTGTTCTTCTGTTTTGTTTTGTTTTTGGTTTGGGCCGTTTTCAAGCTTTTTTTTAATTATTGTGAAGTACATCAAGATTACACATGACATTTACTTACCCACTCTACTGTAGATGAACATTTGTGTAGTGTCTGGCCTCTTGCCATTATAGATATTGCTGCTTTGGGCATTCTTACCCGTTCCTGGTGTACATGGGTGCAAGTTTTTCTAGGGCATCAGTTCTCAAATGTTTTGGTCTCAGGACACCTTTCCACTTTAAAAAATTATGGAAGAATCCAAAGAACTTTTGGTTACGTTGATTTTATCTACTGATATTTTTCATTAAAATGGCTATCATATTAGCCATTAAAATGATAACAATTTTAATTTATTTATTTATTCAAAAATAACAATAATAATCCATGTTAACATATTAACATATTTTATGAAACATAACTATATTCTCCAAAATAAAAAATTATTACTTTTCCAAAATAAAAAGGAGTGACATTGTTTTACAGTATTTTTACAAATCTTTTTAATGACCGATTTAGAAGACAGTTGAATTCTCTTATCTGCTTCTGCATTCAACCTCTTGACATACATTATTGGTGGAAAAATCTAATCTCTGAAAAATATGTAGTTGGAAAAGGGAGGAGTATTTTACAGCCATTTTAGATCATTGTGAACATCCTTTGATGCTTAATTGCAACTCGGCAAGTGGCAGTTTTTAAAGATTAATTGCAATGTGCAATGTGAAATAGACCAGTGGACTGACTAAACTCTAGTACTTAAAATCCATGGGTCTGTCTTGCAACTTGAATAGCCCTTTTTTGCCCATGCATGATTTTGTAACACTATACATTGGTCATTTGGAAAATATGGTTTCACTGAATCAAGCAGATCTTCCAAATGTTGGCACATTTTGTTATGCCATATTTTAAAATGGCATTCATTAATAACACTTATTGGTCTCATTAAAAAATTTAAAAAAAATCCTTATATATTGGGAAGCTGTGGAGCTCCCAGAGGTGGACGGACACGTTTTACAAGTTCCCAATTTTCTCTTGAAAACTTGAATTTTACCATTGGCAACAAATACTATCGATTGTTCTCTGAAGGGACAGGCTCATTCTGTCCATGTTCAAGACAATCCCAGCCAAATACTGACGTCTGAATAACCATGTTGGGTCAGTCCCTCTTTCAAGGAAAAACTGCGTTTCCTGAGAAAAGAGGCCAGCTGCCAAGTCAGCCACACAGTGCCTTTGCTCAAGGCCACCGGCCACTTCCGTACACAGCAGGGGTGCCTGTGCGTGCGCCCATTTTGTCACAGAGACCTTGAAAAAGACAGATACTCAAGGTCAAAATTTAATAAAATTGAAAGAAGTTTTGCCTCCTGAAGGACATTCTTTAAAAAAAAAAAAAAATACACTTTTATTGGTTTCAGAGAGAGGAAGGGAGAGGGAGAAAGACAGAAACATCAGTGATGAGAGAGAAACATCCATTGGCTGCCTCCTGCAGGCCGCCCACTGGGGATGCAGCCTGTGACCCGGGCAAGTGCCCTGCCCGGGAATCGAACGGTGACCTCCCAGTTCATAGGTCCAGGCTCAACCACTGAGCCACGCCGGCCGCGCTTGAGGACATTCTTAAGTCCCACTCACTTTTCCCCTTTCACTGTGTGTGGTAGGGAACACGTGGCCACTGGACCGGTTTGAGCCCTGCCCGCCTCCGGGCTCAGGTGGCAGCGACTTCCCCGTCATTCTCTGACACATCGCCGCAGCTCAGCAGTGAAAAGGCAGTAACACTGTACAGATCCGAACAGTCCTGCCCTGTGGACCCCACACACTCTGAGAGCCGTTGCATCTGTCACCGGGTGGGCACGCGCTCAGCCTTCAGGTGACCCCGATGAGGCCGTTCGGTCACCTGCCAGCGGGCAGTATCCGTGCTCTGCGTCCTCACTGAGGCTTCAAAGTCACAGGCTTGTTCATCCCTGACTGTCACCCGGGTTTCCATTGGCGAGTTGTCTTTTTCTTAAGGATTTTTACAAAAACCCTTCTGTGTTAGAGAATTATCCTTTATCCTAACTGTAGATGCGCTGCCAATTTTCCTCTCCTAGCTGGTGGCTTTGCTTTCCATTCTCATTATTACGTCTTAATTTAAACCCAGCAAAATCTACTAAACTTTTCCTCCACGGCTTCTTGGAGGGTTTCTTCAGATACAGTCCCAGGAGTGGAATTGCTGGGTCATAAGGCAGTTCCATTTATAATATTCTGAGGAGCCTCCGGGCAGCTTCCCAGGCTGCACTCCCCC